ACCGTATTCAAACAAGGAGGATTGGCTCCCAGAGTGCAACATCGATATTCTGTCCCATATATGGGCATGTCGTGCTACAAAATTTGAATTCCAACGACCGCCATTTTGTTCACTTCAACATTTGAATTGTGAATTTTGGTCTTATTTCCTAACGAAAAATTCCAAAACTCACAAGAAATGATCGAGATATTGGTTAGAATATTTTGAACTGTTTATTTTGAATTTATAATCGGTTATAATTTCAGAAAATAACGACATTTCGGCGTTTTCATTGTTGGAAAATATCGACTTCGATTCTGGGAGCCAATCCTCCTTGGTATTCAAACTCAACATACCATTGTATCTCAAAGTGTTCTTCAGTGTCAACGGCGTTATTTTTCAACAGTGTGTTGATAGTGTTCTTAGAGATCAAAAAGTTCAAATCGTGCGTTTATATTGAAAGGAACACCAATTAATTAAGTTGTTATTTACAATGCTTGTACGTCGTGTAGTGCGAATTATTTATCTTAACCGTTAATTTATGCATGAATTGATGAATTTAATCAAAAACATACTTTTAAGTAGCGATATTGATTAAAATACATGAATTATGTTGCGGTTCAAATACGAGGTATTAAAATCGATAGAGGTGCTTTGTTATCAGTTACAGCCATCTTAAATGACAAATTACACATGCTATGCTTTCAAATAAAATATAATTTATGGAATTATAAGTAGGCATTTTGTTCATTAGAATAATTTTAAAAATGTGAAATACATGTGCAAAGGGATGATCACGTCTAAACTAGACAACGAGGGCATCGATGATTCATTTTAATGATCATTACATCTTTCTGTTTGCAAGTAGCAATACGTTTTGATTTGCTCTTTGCATTCGTTCGAATTACTTGCTTCTTGAAAGAAAGTTTCTTTCAAGTTGTTAACACTCCGCGCGCCATCGTAAACAGGGCCCGGGGAGCAGGGTAGCTCTGAGTTGGGCATACTCCCTGACCTGATTGATTGATTGAAAGATCTCCATTAGTGCCATCTTATTATCTTATTTAGAGACCCACTCCAGGCTATGCATTTCCCATGATACTAAATCTTCGATTTCCAAAGTGTTTCTAATACATCTTCATCTAGGATGCTCATATTTATCTTCCTGTTCTTTGCTATGTGTTCCGGGAAAACGCTTATCAAAAGCGTCCACACATTTCTTTCGCCAGCAGTCTACTTATAAATGAATTTAAGTGACACTTTTCACGCATTATGGGATTCACAATCACAACCAGTACTATCTCTGGAATAGACCTCTCACAAGCTTTAGATAAAGAGAAACTGATAAATCAGAAAGCTTTTTACGGCCTTAATGAGGTTTCTATTGAGAGAACTATTGCATTGATGGTTCACGTAGGATATTTCACATTCCCACTCCGCGGTTGTTTATAAAACCATATATCGTTTACGAGATAGATTTCCGTCATCCATGAAAACACAACTTATGTTTATGAATATAGTTATACCTTATATAAGTATAAGTTGCGTGTCAAATGATGACGAAGTACGACACGCTTTATTAGTTCTAAACATAATGGATTTATAAAGACTCTGTAAGTGCGTTGAAATCTCTCTAGTGACATGATATATCTGCTTTTAGAGAATGATTTGTATTTTACTTACTTAGTCAGTAGGATCTGTCAGAGATGAAATTGGAACAACTGAAAACGTGTGAATAAATTTGATGACACTCTGTTTCATTGAATAAACGCACGTGTTTCTAGAGAGGAAATGATGGAGAGCTGTGTTCTCTCGTTGTCAATGACTCAACTTTGACATTTGGTTATACGTTATATCGGCCAGTGGTATTTGCCAATTGTACTTTGAAAAGTTCAATGTCAATAAAAATCTAGAACACTTGCCTTGTGGGAACGTAATCATTTCAAGGGACTGGACAATAAATACAGGGTGGGCAAAAAATCAATACCCAAGTTAGAAGATGAATGATTCATGCCACCTCCAGTGTCAATTTTAGCCTGTAACTCCACAAGAAAACAACGGGTTTCAATCAGATGGTTTCATATTGTTAGGAAATGATGATCTTTAATACATGGCATGGTTTAACGTTGATATTCATCCTTAAACTTGAGTATTATGGTTTTTTGACCCACCCTGTATATCTTTGGTTTAGGGCAACACTTTGAGACTACAAATAATCAGTGTTCATAACTTTAAGATAAAGAACCATTTTAAAAGAAATTATTACTTGGTTACATTGTTAGAGTCTTGTTGGTTTTTGTCATTAACAGCTGAAACTCAATAATGTTATTGGCAGTTACAGTGCCCAATCCAGTTATTTTATTCTGAACTCATTATCCCTCAGATTATACAATAGCAAATCTAATTGCAACAGCCTACATTTAAGCTAAGATCAATAATAAAAAGTAAATTAAGTACAACTTCTTGGACTAATGATAACGTATGTGATATTCTTACTGATCGTGAATAGTCAGTTAAATAAAACCTAGAGACGAGGGAACGAGTCGCTATGAGAATGAAGCCGACCAAGCCGTGTAGATAGGATCAGGGACACCACAATGATAGTTTCATTACGAAAATGACCAACATCCCTTTAAATTGTAATTAGCAATTCATTGCCTCATTTGTGTATTTCTTTAGGGATTTGAGTAGATTGGCGAGGTACAATAACAACAGAAGGGTCTCATTATATAAATTGGTTTTGATCAATGGTGGTGTCATCCGTTGTTGAGCCATTTCCCTTGAACAATGGAACGGGGATATCTTCAGTGGGTTAAAGGGTGTTTTGTTTCTTAGAATAGTGCACTATCCTATAGTCGCAACATTGGTAGAAACTTTCATAGGGGTTAGAACTTCCAACTATGTCGCGATCGGTATGATTATGCTCAACTAAAACATGTTCTTGGAATAGCGTCTTGTTTTTCATCAAGAAGCTAACAAGGTGGGGGGCCACATTTTGAAAATTCAAGTCCCTTTTTTGATAATTTAGCGTAATTATTTTGATAATTTTGCCCAAGAAGACCAATTTTTGCAATTTGAGGCCCTACAAAATGTGGGGCCCTAAGACTATAGAAGCACGATGTACGCCATCCCGGATCAAAAACCATGGAAAAAATATCTTCACAAATTGATCAATGAACAAAGGATAATGCATTGAGGCTTGAAATACTAAACAGTTTTATTCCAAGGTTTAGGCTAATGGGAATTATTATCAATGATATAAATGCATTGATCAGTCTTAAAATATGTCCTCGTTGAATTATGAGCAACAGATTGTGTTGTCTCTGTTGTCTAAAGCCTGCAAACAGCATTGATGTAACAGAAACAAACTGACACCTAAGCTGTAAATGCATACCCCATCTGGCATTTCTACTTTTCTAATCACAATAGATAAATTGTAGTACTGGCATTCTGATACTCATAGCATCTTTCTGTTTCACCTGAAACATGCTCTGATATTATGAGGAATATGCTGTGACCCGAGCGCTTCAGATAGGAAGAGTTGTAACTGTCAATAAGTGTGATAGTTATCATGTAATCATTTACCTTATGTCAATAAATTACATCATAGGCATTGTATTTAACAGCAGAAATTAGCATGGGCACAGGTACACAAGTTGTATGACCCCAATTAGATGAAATATGAGCTGGGATGAAAGATCTCAAAAATCCTCAATTTTGGGCTCTCCTGGATCGCCAAATCAAGCTCATTACAATATGGCATCTCAGGACTGAGAAGAAATGAGATGTCATGGTTTATCATGATGTAGTATTGGTGTGAAAATGAAACATTGTTCGTCACAAAAACACATTGCTGTGATTATCTACAGAAAATCTCACCTAAATTGCTGTATTATAAAATGGCAGACCTATTTTTAATGATAACACAAAGTTAGATGCTGTATGATAAAATGGCAGACCTATTTTTAATGATAACACAAAGTTAGATGCTGTATAATAAAATGGCAGACCTATTTTTAATGATAACACAAAGTTAGATGCTGTATAATAAAATGGCAGACCTATTTTTAATGATAACACAAAGTTAGATGCTGTATGATAAAATGGCAGACCTATTTTTAATGATAACACAAAGTTAGATGCTGTATGATAAAATGGCAGACCTATTTTTAATGATAACACAAAGTTAGATCCTGTATGATAAAATGGCAGACCTATTATTAGTGATCCTCAAAGTTAAATTGCTGTATGATAAAATGGCAGACCTATTCTTAAGGATAACACAAAGTTTCAAGGTTAAGGCACACCTGTAATGAAAATTTTTGGAAAATCTTAGCCTTACAACATACATATTTCCCGTTTACAAACAAGCTGCATCTCTCAATCCATAAAATTACGTTCATTTACAATTGTTTGAAACTTTTCCAAGCGCTCCCCTGCCGGTGTTGGATGTCTTTCCATTGCTCTAAGGGTGTGTTGAGAATTCTAATTGCCAATCACAAACGCAATGAGTTAGGAAATAAAGTTTTCCATTAATCCTTGCCAAATTCCCTTGGATCTGAGACAACTTAAATAGATTAGACCAATTAGCTCACGTTTTCCAGGTTGTAGTAATCCATTCGGTTAAGATCACTTGGTTCCCCGAAGGTCACAAGAGTCGCAAACTGTGGCAACCTGTTAATCGCAAGTCCGGAACTTTTCAATGGTTGCATAATATAACGGGTAAGGCAGTTATGAAGACCATGAAGGACAGCCAATGCTGAAAACCTGGTCACTAATATTTTCAGAATACTGTATCTGTAGAATAACAAACAAATCGGCCAATGGCAAGACTCAATTTAAACCACATTCATCCAGTAAAGCAATTATGTACTTTTACAATTCAATGACGATAGATGATAACAAAAATCTACATTGTCATCGTGGTCGCTCTTGCCCACACACACTTCATTGATCCTCGCTCATTGATTAACAGGAAACAAGAGACACTATTAAAGGATGAGTAGATGTTATTAACAAATTCCTTTTTATGTTTTCATTGTGTAAAAATTCACCATTTATTATCACACTATCCAATAAAATGTACATTCACATCAGGTTTTACAGCAAGTAAAATTTGACAATATTAATTACTCCGAATCCGCTAGCTCTTTAAGAGCTTAGTAACGGAAGCATGGATTGACTGGGGACGTATTTTATTTATTTTTACGTCAGTTGGCTGTCTTTAAATAGTATTATTGCTAGTCTTTACGTTTATCGTGCTCTTCCTATCGATTTGCATCGTTAAATGAAACATAGTCTAACTAATAAATAAATACAGACATAATGACATATTAATGATAGTTAAAAAGTAATAGTGTAAATTACAAAGTTAATGGAATACAAATCCATCAAAAGAAAAGTTACAAATCTGTCCTTTTATACAAGAATGGAATATTTCCAACCGGGATAAGTAATGGTGTTTATTAGATCAGGAATGAATATATCAAAGTCACGATATTTTCTGTAGAGACCTGGGTATAAATGCCTGATTGATGGATCCGTATTTATCCTGCTTATCCGACCTTGATTAATACATCATTGGAGTAAAAACATCACACTGTAGAGATGCAATAATCCATTTGCTCTCGTTCTTTGCAATTAATAGTCTTATCTAGGCACATTTTATGACTCTTTTCATTTTTCTGTTTGACTAGTTTTACGACATCCTCTCGAAGGTCGTCTTTGCCGTTATTGTGACCATTGCGCTTGATGAGTGTTTCGCACAATTGTGTCTTATCACATTCTGCTAAGTGTTTTGATTTGCTGCACCGACAACATCGACTACTGAACCATCCAGGTAGCCATTTGTTTGCACGATGTCGTCTGGGGGTGTTCTTATTATTACCAAGACATTCAGTGGTCGGGATAGTCTCACGGTGGTGTCTGATGTCGCCTTTCCTTTCCGTATTGCCTGACCAAGTGAGACATGGGCAACAATGGGTGAAAGAACACTTAGAGTTAAACAAGCCATAGAGGATAGGGTTCAGTGCACTATGGATTAGCGTCAATGTCTCCGCCACCACTTGCCCCATTTTTAGTTTTATTTTGTAGTTTGAGTAAATCCTCACTAGCGTTACGAACAGGTAAGGGGCCCAACACGCCACAAATGCAACGATGACGGTCAATGTCATTTTCACGGCTTTCACTTTGGAGTTAGATACAAGTTTTCGGTTAAGATTGAGATTAGGGGCAACGTCATTTGATATCGACTTCGTTGAGTTATTCCTGAGAATGGCATCTCCTTTGTTGCGAGACCACACCACCCTTATGATGTTCACATAGCAGTAAGTCATGATAATGCTGGGGATGATAAGAATATACGTGGTGAGGAAGGTGAAATATAATTTCCTCTGCCACATGGCTGTATACCCTTGACTTTTACATTTGTGGATAATGTTACCATCGGGGTGCATTCCCTCGTCTGTTTGAACAAAAATAAGCAGTTGTGGAGAGGCGAACACAAGAGCCATTACCCAGGCGACGGCCACCTTGCGCCAAATCCATGGGTTATTTGCTAATGACTGGAGGGGTTTGACTATCACTTGATATCGGTCAATGCTCATTCCTACTAGAAGGAAAGTCGCGCTTGCTAGGGTCATAATTTGGCCATAAAGCAATAGCTTACAGGCAACAGCTCCAAGGACCCACTCACCAAACGCTATGAAGAATACTTCTGTTGTCATCGTCACTATACACACCATTAAATCTCCGATGGCTAAGTTAACCAAAAAGACATTCACTCTTTTCCGTCTGTGCTTGGGATTCTTCATTAAGAGTACTATAAGCGTTATATTCCCAACGACAGTCGCGGCCATCACAATGATTAGAGTCACCACTCTATATATGACTTCTGACGACCACTCAAGCACGTAAGGCACATAAGCGCTAGAAGTTGTGTTTAATGACAGTGTTGTCGTAGTCGATGAGAGATTCATTTCAGTGTTACGTAGTGCATCCATTGTCATAATATGATCACCATTTTCATACCCGGCAGTAAATCATGATAATTATTGTGATACAAGGATAGTTTATGTTTCGTTTCCCGTATAATTATTTGTCACATTGTGCGTATTTGACGATATCATCCGAGGACTTACAAGTTACTTCCCAAAAGCTATATCCATTTTAGTACACAATAGACTTTATTTCCTAATGCATTAAAATAACAATGGTTATCCGCCTGTTACGTGATAAAGCAGTGGCTATAACCTTATAAAGAAATCCATGTGAAAATTATTTAGAGTACTCATACGATTTATTTATCCAATTTTGCGAGCTCTATGTGATCATAATCTGATAATTTCCGTTTGAGATCAAACATCGCTCTCTTTTAAAGATCATTGTTTCCGCGCCTATTCATTGCCATGTAGGCCCTCGTTTCCTCAGTGCTGTACGTCTCTCGTGGGTTGCTTTGTCCGTTTCTCCCTATAGATGTTGAATTCTGCCCGATTGATATAAACCTGAAAGCATATAAAATCTGTTGTTATGACAGTACCTTCAGTTAATCATGCGAGTAGTACAATTAATATTATCATAATTCAGTGGATGATCGACATTGCATCAATCATTACGAGACAGTAGCCAGAGCCAGACGTGTAGTTTGCTTTTTGCAATTGTTTAACGGCATCATGATTTTTGCAATATCATTTGTCTTATCCAGCACAGATTTTTACTCGATCAATTTGTGGTAACGATACATCCACTGTCACGGTGCGTAAACAAGTAAGTTTTTACATTGACTAGACTAGCGCTCTAACATCCCAATTGTTTGCCAAATTATTTCATAGTTTTATTCATATTCGATTATAACCGGTGGTTTTTGTAATTATAAATACATGTTGGTACCGGGTTGGAGCACTTTTGCATTTCTAGGTATAGTTCTTTAAGATTTTCTTTTTCACTGAATACCTTAGAGTAAAACACTATAGCCCATATTACTACTGTTTTTCCTTGAAAAGACGGATGTGTATTTTGTACAAAGAAAATCACGCCATGCCTTGATCCATCGAGATCGGGTTTCACTGCTATAGCATTGAAATACTCTTTGACCAAGGATGTGATGTGCACGATGCGATGTTGTACATTGGCTAATGTGACTGATTGAGATGTTGCGATAAATTAAATAAATGTAACAGCTGAGTTCGATGGTCGTTGACAATTGTATAGTACTATACTATCTGAATCCTACTATTAAATTCTCAGCATTTAACTATTAATAAACATCACTTTACTGTGAGAAGTCTTTATCCTCCATCCAAATAATAAAAAATGAAGTAAATGTAATGATAATGAACCTGCTTTTACATACCCTTTAATTTTTCACTTCCATGATTATTATGCGCAAATTGGCAATTACATCTTCATAAAGGGATTTGATATCTCAAGATCGTGACACGTCTGACCTCCCATAAATAACGCAGGGTGTTACGCTGTGTTTTGTGACATAGGAGACGGCTATAAATCTATTTTATTCTTCTTACATGGTCACTTCCCGGGGAGACGTTTCGTTTAAAAACAACGCGCAACCTTCACATCCGGTTGTAGTCGTTTTTAGTAATCCATCACTTGCTAGCGTTTGCATGTAATTTCGTTGTATTGTTTTACCTCTTATGTTTGTGTACATAATTTACCTCTTAAATGAAAGATTTACAATTATACAAACGTATTAACATAAGTAAAAATGCATACATTTCATAATGTGTCTTTAAATGTCTGGTAGCCTATTCATCAATGTGACGCGACGGACTATCTTCGTCATCTGCACTTGGTTGATCTGGACAATGTCCATCACTAGTAGTTACTTAACAATTTTAAGTAACGACAAAGGCCAATGAGTGTTATCGAATACAACATGCACTCCGTGTTTGCATTCCAGGTGTGCATTACTCCTGTCCAACAATGTCCAGAATGTATATGCATTTATAGTTACTCACAGTCCTTACTGTTAATAGCATAGACATGTTTGCGTGTTTATTCCTTTATTGCTGAACTATTAACTGGACAATCGATTTCTTTCATCTATTGTACTCGTTCTATATAAATGACAGATATGGGTAGTCAGGGGCCCAAAATCTGCTCCACCCAACATAAAATGGCAATTTAGATAACAAACTGACAAACTGACCCCCACTTTCAAAATTTGTGTGTATAAGTTTGTAAAGTAAGTGTATCATAAAATCTGTCATATGTACCTCGCCGACCGTCGTCGTCATTGGATATTTGATTCAATATGTTCATCGCTATATTTTAGTAAAATAGTTAATTAACTATCATACCAAATGAAAAATAGGAAATGATAGTACAATGTTCTCAGGTTCAGATGTGTTCCAAGTAATAATTAAACGAATTTTATAGCTAATGGTTTAAGCAATAATATCAGTGGAGAAATTTGAACCAGTGCTGATTATCAAATAAATTATGGCAATAAAAACGTAAAAGCATTATGCGGGACTGCGGGTATATGGTATAACATCAACTGTGATATTACCTAACACTTTTTATCAACAATAATGTTTTTCTTCTCTGAAATAAAGAAATTAAATAATAAAAAACAAACAATATATACATGACAAATACTAAATGTATTGAATTGAATTGAATTAATTCCATTTTAATATTAAGCTGACCCTTCAAACCAATTTTAATTACGCGTTATTCTCTTGCCATATTTTCGTCGCTCTAAACGAATTTACCTTGTTATATTGAACTGCCTGCTGTTGAACTTTTGTAAAATAGAAGTTGCGATCCAATGAGAAACCTCACTCTTTGCCCTCAATGCAGTAACTCTCACATTGCAATGATTGTTCCCGGTTAATGAGGACTCGTATTAATTGCAGATATAAATTGTGGCTTTTCAGTGTTTTTAGTCAAAGTGATTTTTCTCCTTCTACGCGCCGTTTGTTTACCCTCAGTCTTGATATGTCCCCTTTGCCAAGTTGCTCGTACAGATCGGGGGTTGTACTGTATTCTTTGAATAATTAGACCTAGTTACAGTTTCTCATTCGTTACATATGCCCAAAGGGAAAATGTCGTTCCCCTGAGATCAGCAAGTATAGATAAACAACATTAGCTCGAGAATGCAAGATAGACTTCCCAAAATTAAGTTACCTTTCGCACAGGATAATTACTCAGTCCTGACCACTAATCCGGGGGGGCACTAATCCGGGGGGCACTAATCCCCTGTAAGTGTATTGAATTCTGCATTATCATGATAATACCCACCGTCGTCTAATTAATGCAGAATAATGTTGGCAACTGAGTTATCTTTGGTATAGGTAATACCAGGCTGTCCATCAACATATCAAAGGATAAAGTTGCCAACTCTCCGTGTATTTCCGCAAGTAGATCGTGTAGCTATGGAGTCGGTCAAAGCAAAAACATTTCAATTATCAATTTATCACGGCCTACAGCACTGGTGATCCACTCGATTACGCTGGTTACCGAAACGGTTCGTTTTGGTAACAAAATGTCGGAACGTCGAAGGTACGATTTTTCTCTATTCTTTATTTCACACGTTGTAGGCAGAATTCCCACGACACTGTTTTTAACACAAACGTGTATCAGTATCATATGTTTAAGAAAATGTGCATAATATAAACGGTTTTTCGAAAAACTCTTAAGATCTGCACTTTTAACCCAAATCGTTTATGTAACTTAAGTGAGGAATTAAATCGACGATTCTGTTGTCTTCTGAGCTATTTTTTCGCAAACATGAACTTTTTCTAAAACATATGATACTGATATACGTTTGTGAGAAAAAACGTCGTGGGGATTCTGCCTACAACGCGTGAAATAAGGAAAAAGAAAAATCGTACCTTCGACGTTGCGACATTTTGTTACCAAAACGAACCGTTTCGGTAACCAGCATAATCGAGTGGATCACCAGTGTACAGGTGCGCCTGTTGTGTGAATCAACTTTGTTTATCTATATCGGTTATTCAATTATATATAACCAGTTTTGTAATTAACAGCTCCTGGCTTGGTATCTAATCTATACCCTTATAATAAGTATCTACATCATACGGTACATGGGCTGATCATACAGGTCCAAACGTAAGTGCGTTTGGGTAATTCACGTTTTGGAATCAACGAAACTGTATGTATGAATACATCAGAGTTTTTTTCATCACCATTATGTATAATTTGAATAGATAATCAACTGATCAAAAGGATCGCAACATGGGGAATCATCCTTCTTCAAAGGACTTCATTTATGCCTAAATTTATAACTTGTAAAATACCCTTGCAGCAAGGATGTGGGGAATGACAGAGTAAACTGAGTCCGAAAATAAACCAATTATGTTGAGGTCAATCGAAATTAATAATATATGTGATGTAATCAATCATGAAGACAGAAAATGCAACACGAGCGATCAGCCTGGGACAAACTCGTGACCTCTTGCCGGAACTTTAATGACCCGATGAAAGTATCAGCAATGAGTTCAAATTGTTATCTACACTCCCCTCCATCAGTATGGCAACCGGAAGTCACTTATTAAAGCCCGTATCTAGCGAATCGAAAACTTTGATCATCCAATTTGTCAAAACTTTCACAATTATTGTAATCAAGGAACAAAACATTGACAGGTTTTAAATATGCCATCCAATTGCCAAACGTATGGAGGGGAGTGCAACTCAGTAAAATCTAATGAATTGAATCAACCAGATTCGATGATGCTTTACTTCATTCACAGGTGATCGTTTCTAAATCCTGAAGGGTTGTTGACATCAGTGAAAAGATATGAAACAATAAAACTGTAATTTACATGCAAATCATGTTGGTTGGTGATTACATTAGATTACTTTGTCTAATAACATCTTAGATTACTATTGACTCCAATGCAAAAAATTGCAAAATAAATAAAGGTCTTAGCCTATTTACTGTCTTGATTCCTGCAATGTACTTCTCATGTATATTTACCGAACGACTTGAACAACGGAAGCAAGTCTTGTTTACAATTTTGATTTACAAGATCCCTCCTACACATTGCTGGATTCCTTTATCAGGAAAGTGAATGGAAAGGGCGTGATGTACCACAAAATACTTTCATCTCGTCTTTGTGAGTTTTGAAGACATCTAGACGTTTTTTAATCAGTCATCGATATCAACTTATTATTTCAGAAAATCAATTGCAAACGTCAGCTCCCAGTATACACTAGTTCTCTCTGAGAGTCTTGGTATATCTAGTTTTGCATCAAATCTCTAGATCCCCCCGCCCCAATGACGATAGTACACTTTGTAGAGACGAGTTGGGTATTTTGGGCGGACAGTTACAAGGGCATAGTGATGGTGCACGACGACGTCTAAATACCATGCAAATTCCAAAATGTTTCATCAATGAAACATGATAGACATATTAGAAATGAATTGATCATCAGACCAATCAACTTATTCTATTTAATGTGACATCATAATAAGTTGAGCTTGATTGTGGCCTGTTACATCCATACCCTGCGTGCAGAGTCTAGTTAAACTACAAGACGAAGCTCTCTTTTAAGAAGTGAAGTCAAACGAATGCAAAGGGTATCACATCCACTATATTGGCCACTTACTAAAACATTATTCATGTTATTCGATCCCATTTTTAAATATTTTGTACTGAATATTGTAAAAATACATTTACTACAGAAGTGACACTGCGTTATTTAATCTAGGTTTGATGAAAGCAATCCCGGGAAATCAATGTGTCAAATGCAGTTTTAGATACATTAGCCGTAGAAACAGTTATTCCTAGTGAAGGTGATTTATTCAAAGATGGTCACGACACCTTCAGACCTTAGTAATTAGCCAATTAATAACACAACAAGACAGTTAAAAATTAGTTGTAAAAGAATTCGCTATACTTCCTGGTCGATCGTTCATGCCAGTTGTCAAATAGAAATGCTAATCGTATTAGTCTATTTTAGAAGATCCAGTTAAGCTACAATAACTACCGGGTATAATCCCAATGTGTAGAAACAATGTCTCCTCATCCACATCGAACGTCAATTCAGGCTCTCTTGGCGTTATCTCACGCGTGTATCTTGAACAATCTTGAAAAACAATTCTAATCTTCTAGTTCTTTGTTTTGAATACTAATTCGAGTTCTTTAGTCTAGAAAAGCGAATCATGCAAACCATATCAGTACAACATGAATTTATCTTAAACGTTTCTACAAAGACCTTTTTATCAGAGTTTGTACCAATATTATTATCTCCTTGTATTTATCACGATTAATGGCTTCTCTTCAAGCTTGTTTTGTGACAACCTTTATTTACCCCGGTGATTAGGATTGATAATGACCCACGTTTACCGGATGTATACGTCATCGGACATGTTTTACCCCATATCTACGGAGAAAAGATTAACGTAAACAATCAACATTTTTGTTTACTTTTCTTCAACAGACGTGATTGCTTTGCGTAAATTGTAAAATGAGTGTTTTTTCTTATGTCAGGGCAATTCTCAATATCTGAAGTAGCCTTTTACTAGATCATTGGTCGTTAACAAAACACGAGAAACGGGCTAGAAAGTAATACCGTAAAATGTAAACTGAGCAATTAAATAGAAAAAAATATAGATACTGTGTCAATCCGACGTAATTGGGTATTGCTTTTTTTAATAATAGGCCTAATATTTAAAAGAATGTTGGCCTCGTTTCGCAAAATCGGCGCCCATTTTTGATTAAGGACCAAACGTTTTTTCCGCACCACTCTATCTTCATACTTATTGGATAAATTTTTGTATGTCAAGTTTAGTTCATCCAATCTCATATATTGTAGAAATACCTGGAATACGGGAAGTGTTTCAATGATTGACTGCGATACTAAATCTTACCAATGACTATTATTCGCGGACTATAGCACATTAACCGGTTAATGTCACGTTGTATTTAATATTACAGAGGTTTCGCACAGCGCATCTAAAACTCGTATTTTGCAATTGACCAGATTTATGTATTCGGCATCACTCATTTTTGTGCAGCCGGTGTAACGGCTTATATACTCATCACTATTGAGGATGGTATTTCCCATGATGGTGTAAAGGATACGGCATGCCTTCGTCAAACACATGGAATTTAACCACGGACTGAATGTTGGTCATTTATCATTGTATCCGATTTTATCATTCAAATTGATTACAGATCGTTGAAAACGAGGCATTATGTGAACAAGCGCATGGTGTTGTACAATGTCACTTAGTTTAAGTAAATAAATTGGTTTATTGTTTTACATAAATTGAGCTTCTTCAAATAGTGTCTTCCATTCATGTAAAAATATAGCGGCATATTCTGAGGCATGTGTGTAGAGTATGAGAGGAAGTTCTTCATTCCTTAAAGACCCCGTGTACTTTTTCAAACTATTTTGACGCAGAATTCCTATTCGTCTGTGACGCGTATGCGATACGATTTTACCTGAAAAAATCAAGGATATCTGTAATATCAGAAATGGTCATATCAGGATATATTGCATATGTCCCACTCCAGGCCAAATATAATATATCAATCCCGCTCCCGGGAATTTTTCAAAAGTTTCAAAAAAGTTTAAATGTTACAATTCATTGTATTGAACTAAAGGAATATTGCGAAAATGTTAAATATGAATTGTGCTTTTACAATAGGCCTATCTTGTAATTTGAAATAGGTGGAAAAGGTTATATCTACCTCAAACCCACTCAAGTATGAGATACAACAGTTATTTTTCCTTGGTCCCTTCGGTCCCTCGTATAGATATAAATATATCCCCCAGGATATACCCTATATCCAACAAAACCTCCCAGTACATAACCCTTAAGTTTGGCAACCTTAGCTCCCCCATTGAAGTACGTGTTAAAGCCTCTTTACTTTTTTTTACTTAAGCTGCGATGAAAATACTATTGATTGAAACGTAATTTGACTTTAATTCTAATACCTCCAAATTTCCTCAATTTTTTCCTCAGTTACAATAGGTAAAAGAATTGATGATAAATTTGATGAATTTTTGAAAATCGACATTCCCCTGTTAACTAATGGAAATGGTAGGTTTGCCGCAAGTCATATGACAGAATATCCATCACTCCGAGTCCTTGCAAAAAATACAAGTTATGTAGGCAATTGAATTTGCTAACTTTATTTAACAAAAAATTGATATCTTTCTTCAGGATCAGCAAAATTATAGGTCTTTGATGTCAAAATTACTTTTCAAAAAACCTCTCCCATTGAAATAACACAGGAGGCGAAAATGATTTTCAAAAATGACTTTGAAGCTCTATAACTTTAGTATTCATCAAGTAAGCTAAACACTTGGTGTACATAAAAGTTCGACAATTCAATTTTCTATATAAATTGTTTTTGCTGAATCTTTTACTGAATAGATATCCTGATTTCTGATTTGCCCCGAACCCACCATTTCCCATTGGTTTACATGTGAATGACGATTTTCAAAAATTCATCTTTATCATCAATTTTCGACCTATTGTAATCGAGGAAAGAAATTTGAAGGTTTTGGAAATTAAAGTCAAATTACGTTTCCATCAATATCATATGTTATTTCATCGCAGGTTAAGTGAATAAAAATTCATAGTGAATAAAACCGTAAAGAGGCTTTAACACGTAGTTCAATGGGGGAGTTAATTCATCGTTTTTGTTTGTAAACCTCCAAATCTTGATGAATATCACGTCAAATCCAATATTTTCGAACAAAAAGTGCCAAAAATCCCTTTTCAATTGAAAAAAGTTTCACATATTTACGTTTGGTAAACTACAATATAAGCCACATTGGTTCAAACTTTACACGGGGCCTTTAATCGTGTTTTACCAAAACGTTATGGGAAATCCCTGTATTATCAACAGTTTAGACGTTGCATAAATTGATAAAACACACAACACACAATCCGTTTTAAATATTATTATTTAACTTCTTGAACTGCGATCCTGATTGATTATCAAGTTTAATGAGAAAATATAAGGGCAACATTAAAAAATGCTTTGATGTACTGTTTGTAAAAGAACGTCGCATGATGGCGCGCAATGAATAACCATAGTGAGAGTAATATACACTTACACAATAAAAAGTACATTTAACGTTTAGAAAAAAACAGTATTTAGCACATAGATTTCGAGAAAAATGCTACTTGTATATTCAAAGGAAAAAGCCAAGACGTTGATAAAACGATCTTGAAAATGTAATGACATTGACAAGGAGAAGTATGTATGACTAATAGAGCTTCTCGCTACGTCCACTAGGCGTCCATTTCAAAAGGACGTTCATTTGAGACCCCTCGAAAAGAATGCATGTGGGCGTTTTAAATGAGGAAAATGTTGATTTTCGAAGGTGATGGCGTTAATAAGAAGGGGAAAATATAAAATTGGGAAATAACGACTTGTTGAACCGTATGCTAAGAAGTTGTAATGTTAAACGTGGTTACGTATTTCATTTTAAGATTGCTCTAATTCTCTATGTTTGCCAGTTCTATCACACGTGTTTGCGTTTGGTCGTACAATGGTTGTTGCCAACGAAATGAGACGTCCCTTTGTCTTTGTAACCACATAGTTGTTCAACAACTTCGGCAGTTTTATTCCCCGTTTATTCCATAACGATCATTTTATTGAATGCTTCGCTCACTGGGCGTTTGGAAGCACTCAAAAAAGCTATCATTGGCTTTCAATAATCATTTATAAATTTGTACCTCTGGATATGTAGTTATGTACCTCCTCAGTTATAGCATGGGGTTTCAACAGACTCTTGAAAGCCCATGGACCATAGGTTATAGGCTTACGGTGTTACGAGTTGTACCTTACGATATCACACGATCATGGTTGAAGAGATGGATGGAAAAGTAAGTGAAACTGTTTCATTCATAAGTCCAAGCATGGACTTAACCAGTCCGTGGATCTTAAAAACCAATTCACTCACATTATTTTGAAAATATTGTTTTACGATTTTACGCCACAGCATTAAGAATCGATTGTAAAGCACCGCGGAACCGTATTACTTCTCTATAAACGCAATCATTCCATCAATATGACACTCCGCCACATCAAACGTACAATTAAGATTAGTTTCACAATTTCTTCTATGTGATTTGAAATCGACAGAAAAGGCACTTCTATGAACCATTTTCACAGGGAAATATGGCATATAATATCTCTTTTATTAGCTACGTTCATTCTTGCGCAATTGACAAGCGGAAATATTCACAACCTCAATGCCTTTAATTTTAAAAGCAGACTTAATGTCACGGTGTATAACTGTCATCTTGAAGTTCCGGAACTATGACGCACAACATTTATGATACGATCATTATATCATTTATAGCTGATAGTGTTTTAACGTCGCACACTTTCATTTTTATTTGCCGATTGATATCACGAATCAGATTAATAAAATGAACGTTTGAAGATAAGTTGCAATTAAATATCAATTACTCTTGATTAAGCATATTAAACGGGGATTTAAATGTTCAATTAAGCTTAAACAATAACCCCTGTCGTAATGATTAATTGATCACGTGAGTTTGGCACGGTGCGTTTATTTTTTATTAAACTGACCTGTTTTACATTATAAACGATTGAATTGAGCCTCATTAGTACATCGTTTTATGTCGGATTGCTCTGACCCAAAACGGGTTCCGATGGCAGAGATTGCACAAAACTGAACAATGAAAGGATCTATTTGTCAAAGACGGAAATGGACTCACCTTGACCATGTATGCTTGATCCCTAGTCCAAAATTACATTCCCGATTACTTTACTTCATGTTTAATTTCCACCATAGCATGTGAGATCTAGAGAATTGGCAACAAAATCATCCCGTGTGTATATTTAGTAAAGCTAATGAACTGATAATCTAGTCTGTGCCTATTTTAACGCACCGAGCAGATATAATCTCTATATGATGTAATTTATGATACGACATAATTGAATGCAGGGAAAACAGGTTTATTGGACAAGCTGAAATTATCTCTTTTCAAAACATATTATCCACAAAAGAACAAATCTTATTTCTTTTTTACACACAAATCAAAGGAACGAGTCCGTTGTGGAATTC